TCCGGCCCCTTTTCCTTGTTGTTGTGTATCACCAGCCTCAACCACGCTGGAGGATACTGTCTCCTTAGAGGGGCCCTTTGTTTTATTTACCGCTTCGGTACTCGAGGAGAGGTTCTTGGAGAAGAGGACAGTGCTCCGAGGATCAACTTGGTTCTCAGTACAGGGAGAAAGGGTACCGGGCAGGATTTCGGATTTCGTTCGCCGGCGAGCGCGTGCTACGAAGAAACCATCCGGAGGCTCGAACTGCAAAAAAGGAAGAGGCAGAGGGTTGATCGACGTAGACTTATAAGCTCTGTATGTAAATGGCTAAACTCAAAAACCACGTGAAAGTTTGGCCTTTAACAAAGCTGACAATAGTTCCCAACCCGTTTTCATGGATTTTAAACAATGTAGATACATAAACGTGCATTGGCTCAGTTCAAATGGGATTTTCAGTGTGATGTTTCATAGATAGCAGCCGTCCCAGGATAGAAAAAAAAATGTGACAACGTGGAAACCAGTTTGTAGGCACGAATTCTAAACCAGGAAAAGACATGTGGTTTGTGCTTAACGTGCCTTCCCGAAAAGTGCAGTCAGTAGTATAGATGAGTCCAAAAAAACTTGGCTGTGTCTATTATATAACTGCCAATACAAACGAAAATTCGGGTCCCATGAAGAAGTTTAAAAAAATATGCTATCACTGGTTCTCGACCCGGCGATCACATCTGCTTCTTCTCAATTATTTCCCTGGATACGCATGTTCGTTTTTGTTAGGCTACCTAGCGTATAAATTGCTTTTTTACACGCTGCGCGTAGATTTATTTGAGCAGGGTTGTCGTATTTGCAGCTTCGAGGTCATCTTTCAACCCTCCGCATATGTTACCAGGCACACGTTTTGCTTGGCAGGTTTTTGTCATATTAACTTTTTGTTTAAACAGCACAAGTCTGCTAGATTCAGTGCAATGGAACTTCAATCCTGTTAGATATGGGCCTGCTGCCTGCTAAGGGTTCAGCATAATAGGTAACACCTCACGTTACGAGGAATTTTAAGTATAATGTTTTTTTAAATATGAATATAAGAAGACGTAGACTAGGAGATAACGGGGCCCCGCCGCCCTCAAAAACAGTCAGACAATGATACTACGAGTTACGTGTGGGAAGGAACCGAAGAGAAACTTACGTTGGCCCGAAAGTCCGAAAGTGTTTTGTACTTCTTAAGATGCTCGGCCAGACGTGGGTCAACATCAATTTTGCGTTGGCTGTAGTGCAAGAAGGCCCAGAATTTTTCCAATCCGTAGAGATGTCCGGCCTCGTAGTCATTCAGCGTTTCCACCTGACAGAAAACAAACATTTAGCTCAAATCAAAATAATACTGCTTACTGAAAAATTATGAGTAACCAGCAAATAGGCGAATTAATAAAACTCCGTAAACAGCCGTTTCAAGTGCGGAAATTTTACTCTAATTCAAAAAAGAACACTTCAATGTGGAAAAGTCACGAAATAATCTCTACTAACAAGTAGTGCGCCCACGGCGACTGTTGTCAATGGTTGAGAAAGAAAACAGTGTAATTTATATTTTCCCTAAGAACAGTCGTTCAAACAGTCCCTGACAGTGGACTCCGTCATGAACGTCAAATAAACACTGAAGAAAATGACCGTTCTGTCGCTTACGGCAATTACACTTTGGTTGATATTTCTATGCCTTCAGAATACGCGAAATCTAGCATTTCACTAAGGGTCGAAAGAAACTCTCTTTGGCCAACTTTCCATACACAAGTAAGTCCTGACCTCATATTTGAGTGGATAATTGAGCCCGTCATCGTTACCCAAGAGATACGAGCTAAACCCTGCTAACCGGCAATATTTTGAATAATTCAAGGTAATTCAAGGTCAAGCGCGGAGGGTCCGCAGATATTGAAACCGTTTAAGTGAACAACATACATGGCCGGTACACGGCGTCTCGAAGATAATAACTGATGGCCTCACCTTTGTTTTCAGGGCCTCGCCACACAAACCCACTGAAGGGTATGGGTTACTACCAATCAAGACTGCGCAGGTTTACGACGCAGCCCAAACCAACTTTTCTAAATGTATATGGAGACGGTAAACATTTCGGATCCGCAATTGGTCTTACATTGAATTCGACGACGGGAGAGGGATGCAACAAGAGTCATTTCGGGTGGTGTAGTAACATACGGTACGCTTAAAAAAATTGGAGCCTACTTTGGTTGCAAGTGAGGCTAAGTGGAACATGGAATTTGTAAGTTGAAGGCCGGTATGATAAAATGCGACTAAAGTTTACCTCAAAGTCCTTGAAGAGGTCTTCACGGAACCGCTTTTCGAGACCAAAACTGTAGAATCTGAAAAGACACTCAATGCCGTAGCGGGAACCGAACTTTGCATCCTCAACAGCGAACCGTCGAAACTCCTTGTACATAGTGCGGTTAAAATTCTCCCGCAGGAAGAATGACCAGAAGCGGTATAGGGTATTCATTTCCTACACAAGATAAAACCGGTAAAAGATTGGCTGTGACGTATTTTTACTAGAAAGCAAAATACTGCCAGAGCGCTGGTGAAATGTGCAATGAAAGTGGGAGGGGCTGTAAGTCACAGAACATGTTCCAAAGAGATTGATTGTAAGGATTGGACTGAAAGACGGGAGTGAAAACAGGCAGTTGCAAGAGAAAAGGACAAACCTCACTATCGTGACTTCATTGGTTTGAGGTTTCATCCCTGACCAAGCGAATTCTCCAATCACAGACACGTGCTTTAACAGGTGATTCGGGTAAAATACTGGGAGCGTACACCATGGTGTCCTTACGACTGTGGGTTCAATTCGTAGGGTGATAAATGTCAAAAACAGCTGCGAACCTCGATTTTATTCTCTCTTACGAGATATTACTGCCAAGCAGAGATAAATTATTGATTGACACGTGAGAGGCCCTTAGTACTGCGTCTGTACGGCAACCTCTCTGCCCTGAGTGACTGAAAACACGCCACAAGGATGGCACGTGATAGGATGACGCAAACGCAAAACTGCACGTTAAAGGTGGACGATCGAATGGCTGCCCGACCGCAAGGTAGATCAGAAATTTTATATTGATTAACAGGCATGCACAATCTCGCCCGACGTCAGTTAGCTACGTGGGCACACCTGCTCATTCGTGATAGAATCCGTTGGAGTCCGGCAAGACTTCAAGACAGTCCACTTGTACGGATGTGTGATGACATTAATGTGCTCAGAAAATTTCTGTTATTGTGAGGTTTATGAAAATTGGTACTAGGGCCCCAATTTTTAGCTCGACACTTAAGATGCGTCTCCAACAAAAAAACTGCAGTCAGTTAAGGAAACTTGCTTGATTCCCTCCTGTTGTGTCATACTTAAAGGGATATCGGTTGAGATATAATCTAGCCTAATCCAGGCCCAAAAGAAAGCAAAGCTTCGAAGCCTTCGACGGAGGAATGTGGGTGGAAGTGCAAGAAACTGCCGGTCAAATGATTTGATTTAGCTCGGAAGTCCGTGGCCAAACGACAGAAATAAAAGGTTGAATTCCATCGAATGCAGTATGCGTCCGCCTACAGCAGTCACTGGCACAACGGCCACCTTCCGAATGTGGGGTGGAAACCCGTTGGTAAACGGAGATTAATAGTTTTGGCGTTTGCGCCTCCCCAGCCAGCCTGCTATGTGATCAGGTCGAGGCAGTGAATCATAGCTGTCGCTTTGTAACAGACTGAATGGCACACATAGAGGCATAATGGACCGTGCAGAATATGCATTAGTCACGCTAGCGGAGGGTATATGGAGCAAAACCTCTGTGCAAGATTCGGTTCACTCGGACAAAACTAGCCAAAGAAAGCCCGCACTCAAATATACTTACTTCCTGGGAGGCCAAAATGCATTCAAAATGGCTTAAACCAATCCAATAAGTTTAACTGTGATGGCGGCACCTTTGTAAATCGGAACCAGCAAGTGAACCGAATAAAATCAGTACCAACTGGATCAGTAGATATCAAATACAAGCAATAAGGGGGCATACAAAGGCAGCGAGTACGCTAGCGTTGTGGAATAATACTGATAAGGCTGCTATGTTTGTGTACACGTAGAAACCACAAGGACGGAACTCTGTTCACTCTTGCTTATATGCCTCCCTTCGCTCTAGCAGCAGAAGAGAACGGTAAGTGCGCTAACGTTTCTAGGTCCCAGAAATATTTACCCTTCAAAACTACTTGTATAACAGGGAGAGGGGGGTGTTCCTCTTTCCAAGTCCTGTAGGGAAAGGGGAAGTAAAAGCGAACCCGGTTCATACCTTCTCGGCGCGCTACAATTCCGAGGTTGTTAACTGTTGAGCATAACCCAGCTTTTCTCACTTATATATAATATTACATGTGGGCCTTGCAGGCGACACGCACTGGTCCAGTCATTAGAACATTATGATTGAATCTCCCCCTAAATATAGCCCAATTGACGGAAAGTCAACAGGTCAACCACACGGTCTAAGCCATGTAAGCTTGGTCCTAACAATCAACAGGAAACTACAGGTGTGGGTAGAGACGCCACACAAGACTAGCTAAAAATCAACACTGTTTCTACCGAAGCAATGGTGGTGTTCATGGTGTTCGCAAAAAATCTTAAGGCCGGCTATGTTGAACTTTCCACCATTGAATAAGACAGAAGTCAATTCTGTCGTGACTATATCAACCCGCGCATTGGCCGAACCTGACATCTAGTGTATCGGTCGAGGTTGCATGAAACCGCCCACCCAGCTGCCCATTTGGATGAGTACACTTCCACTGATCAAGGTTTGTATTATCAGATGTAATGAGAAGTAGATTATGCTTGATCTGTTCCGATCTGTGATCTGTCGTACGCTGTCAGTTACTTCCGGCGAAAAAAGTACTGCGTTGCGTTTATACTATCAGAACTGTTCTCTTAAAAAATGACTTCGATCTAGGCAAGTGAACTTTACGACAGAGTCAATTAAAAGTTGCACACATTGTCAGAGTAGCTTAGCATTTAACTTTCATCCTAGAGGAGTGCGGAACGCTGATCAGCGACTCAAATTTAAACCATTTACACCTGAAGTAAACGTTTATCTTGTTTTACTATAGTAAACAGCTTTACAAGTAGGATAATAACATAAAAATAGACTTAGACCGATTTCCAAATATGCGCAGATTAGAATCTTTGATGGATACCTCGAGTTTAGAAAGAGCTTATTCAGAAGATTGGCCTACCACAGATCTAAATTCTAACTTTTCTGAATAAAGCTTGTTACGCAAAACCAGTCGAACGGGGTTTTATGGCGTTGGTGTGGCCGCTCATTTGTTTACTGAGATCGTTTACGTAATAGCTCTCGGCGGAGAATCAGTTGTGCGCCGAGATAAAGGGCGGCGGGTCATCACCAAACGCCCGGTTGTGTATGTGACAGTGAAGGAAGCCAAAATTTCATCAAAAGTACACGCACTACAGTCAACGGTTTCAGGTACGCGCTCACAAATTTTAAAATCACCGCCTCAGTTCTCCAGAGAGGCAGTCTACAGCAATATGTGGCTTGAATGACGCGACAAGAGGGCGAAGCAATCTGTGTAAAAGGCTGTGTAGAACAGAGGTGAATGACAGGCCGCTGCAACAACAAGTTTACGATGGAAACAAGCAAATGAGTAACCCTGACATTACCGCCGATAGGTAGCGGAAATTTGAGGGGGATAGGGATTGCAAATCCAGTGTATACGGATAGAGGATCAGAGAAAGTGTACTGGCATAGTTAAGACTGAGTAAGGAGTATAACAGTGAAAACAAAAACGAAGACCACAAAACCACCGGAAGACTGTGGAGACCGTTCTGGATTAAGTTACAATCATTAGTCAATCGTAACCCGATCCTACAGGGCCTGACAGGACTTGATACTAGTTTGGTCGCTTCTAGAACATTTGACTTCAAAGATTCATCCCTCTTATCACAGAAACTCACAACAAGCGAACCGACACCAGGCTGAAAGCGGCATTGATGGACCTATGCTACCTTCAGAAGGGGGATGAGCACTTCCGCTTTACTAGGAAACCCCAGCATCACTCACATGCATGTAGTCGACAAACATCAGTAGCACGCCTGCTGTCTTTGTTGGACACCCCACTGCACCTAGAACGCCAGCGAACGGTTCCAGGCGTGCTGACTTTACTGGTCGCAACATGTTCATACACGCACACTTTCAGACCGCCACAGACGTCCATGTCACGCCTGGACAGGCCCCCTTTCCATTACGACAATACAAGTTGGACAGGAGACCCTTTAACCTGCTCCCGCAAACAATAAAAACAGGCAACATATTCACCTATCTTCCGGACAAGACTGCTCACCAGTAGCACGCGCCCTGGTCTGACGGACGGCCAATTCCGTCCAAAACAGCAACTAAATATTATGCCCAGAATATTACCCCGCTTCAGGAGTCTTCTGTCTTCTCCTGCACCTAGCGGCTTGGCACGACGATTGTGGCGCTAAATGTACGACCACTACCCTAACTGCAAAACACCCGATGATCGACTGAACCACTTTACGATCTAGGCTTCTAGGAGGGTTGCGAATAACAGCAGTCAGAATGGGTTGCGCCAAGCTCTCTTGTCCTAGTTGGTAAGACTTTTTCAGTGCTATGTGACCGCCCACGCGTTCATAACGGGCGACAATACAGCAAATT